CGTATTTTTTCTGGCTGTATTCCTTCCTTTCTATTCCTGTCCTCATGCCTTCACCATCAGGCAGCATTTGTTTCACAGATTGCCTCTCCGTATTTCCCCGCACTGCTGTCGTACGTCAAACCCTTCCGAGACCAGTTTTACCATTACTTCCAGTTCTAGTGACATGCATTTTCAATGCATCCTCCATCTTCCATACATTCGTCGGTGATCTTGTCCGGTTTGTGTTCCTTTCACACTGTGCTTTCGTTCTGATTTTCACCATTTTTATTGTCTACGTATGTACTTGCACTGTTATTGTACATATGCTCGCTTTGATCATTTGATCATGTCTTGTGCATGTCTCACGGGCTCCGTGAAATATACACTTATTATTATTATTAATATTATTATTTTCAAAGATGCCCAGACGAGGAACCAAGGAAACTGGAACCCAACAGGAAGTAACCCGGAAAGCCACTGGGGTGTGTGTGTGGGTCATTTGGATTCTTTAGAAAATAATAGGTCTTTTAGTCCTGTCAGTGCCATTTCATTTGTTATTTCGGGTGTTCAGGATATCGGTACATTTAGATTTCGGGTTTCTGAATTAGATCATCAGTTGAGATTACTTAGGCAGCAGATAGAACAGGCCAAACGTGAAAAAAACGATTTCAACGGCACAACATCACCTCGAGATGAGACTGTACACAGTTGCTTCTCTCCGAATAAACAACCCGTCTCGAAGCAAACAACGTATGTCCATGTAAACGTCGATTTTCCAAGAGTTGAACTGACACCTTTCGATAATAATGCCGAACAATATTGCCAATTCATTCGCCAATACGGAAATTTCGTTGAATGCAAAACTGACGATGCAAGGTGAAGGTTTCTGTTTTTCTTACACTACTGTCGGGGAAGGCTAAGGACAGCATAAAAGGGTGTGCAGTGCTGGACTCGGAAGCAGGCTACTCGAGAGCCAGAAATATACTAAAGGAGATGTTCAGCCAACCATTTCGAGTGGCACGAAACATGATTGACGGGGTGCTAGCAGAGGCGAAACGCACACGAGGCGATACTAGGTCACTATCAAACCTGGTCATCAAGATGCAGAACTGCAGCATCGCTCTAAACCACCTCAAATATCAGTCGGACTCGGGTGCACTTCACACGGTGGAATCGATTGTCAGATGTTTGCCGGTCGAAATGCAGACAGCCTGGGCTCCCACATCGGGGGAAGATACGATAAAGATGCACCGGGCATTTACTATCGCCGACCTACCAATGAGAGCTTCCGAAAGTATCCGGTCGGTAGCGCGGCGCTGGCCTCACTTCTACGATCTGTCGTTGGAGGATGTTACGGACACCCGAGTGAACATATTTA